GAGTGATAGAAGGTTCCAATCCTGCATTTTTTATTTTGTTGGTGGAAAAGACCATACCTAAAATTTCTCTTGTTGTTTTTACATTTTTCAAACCGTGCCAAGTCAATTAGAACCACTTTCAACCAGTTACAGCCGGTTTCTTTGCTTCAGGCTGTAAATGAGAGTGATAAGAAATATGATCTTAGTTCAATTCTCAAAATACCCCGGTGTTTGTTATTCATTTATATGTTGCCATGCTGATAATTAGAATGAATGGCTTGTTTAAAATGACTACTTTGATTTTCAATCATAAGCCATAATAAATTAGTCAGGAACTTGTGTTCCTATTTTAGAAAAGCCCTATTATAAAATGTTATCCATGTTTGTGATTTCTATAGAGTACAATGGTGCATACTATATACATGCAACACACTGACAATTCAATCATGTCATCATAATGTTTAAAAAGGATTTGCTTCAATAAAACCCCAATCAAAAATGTTACACTCATTTGCCATTTTGAAAGACGTCTATTTTATTTATTTTTTTAGCGTATAAAAGTTCATTGAGTGCTTCGTACACTCGCATACATGTTCAGGCTTGCACGTACATACACTTAGGCTGTGTCTCCTCCCACTCCCATTGCCTTGTGTATTGTGTGTCTGGCTGTTTGCTTTCGCTGTGGGAGCCCACTGCCTGAATTTCGTAGCGCTAAACCAATCCCTTCTGTGCAAAATGGCCCCGGTTAGTCCCTTTCCAACATGCACCTTGCCATGTAAATGGAAACTTAACATGTGGCTCACATGTCTGAATCAGGGCCCAAGTCCTGGCAGCTATCTCATGTCTGAAACATGTCTCAATTGACATTTCATTGACACATAGACCACAGCAGGGCAAGGTAAAACATTCAGAGAAAGGAATGCACATCTTCTTGTTTGCCTTTCCAAGAGCACGCTAGAAACTACTATTCGGTCATCATCAGCCATTCTTTAAATGGAATTTGTTTCCCTCTTGCAGTGTGAGGAAAAAGAAGGAAAAAAAACATCCACATACAACCACAGCATTATCAGGAGACTCCCTCCTCGTCATTTCAGTTTCTACTACTGCAAACTGATTAAATGAATATCAGTCATTTTTATTACTGCATTTGAGCGAATACGAATTTAACAAGTTGGCATCTTGTCATTCTATGCATGTGTGCTGTTGGTCTTTATAAAATAAGTAGTTGATTTGTGTATATAATAGATGATGAAAATGTTCAGGATTCACTGTGAGAAGAGAAGGGGCGTGCTTCATGCTCACAATGGTGATTATGACTTCAACAAAATAAGATTTGAATTATGCCATTGATGCAGCCTTAGGTAAATACATTTTCGTTTTAAAAGGAAAACAATCTAGCTAGGCACAAACCTTCTAGAAATAATCTAGGTCCCTGCTAACATGACTGAAATGCACATCACATGTCCATTCACAAACACTGGGCGTGAGCATGAAGCAGATTTGTCTACTCAACGGCTGATTGCCTAGTTAATGCCTCTGGACTCGCCACTTGCAAATCGCTCAAATAATAGCTTGCCTCCTGCACTGCTAGGCAGCAGTCGCATTGTAAAATGCAAAATGTAACTGCACAACAGCTGCTCGCGTAGACAACAAGGTCCGCAGCGCCTGTAGTTTGTTATACATGTTGAATTAACCCCTGGTAGCCGGATCAGGGAAGGACTCGTCGTTACAGATAAGACCCAATCAAGAAGCGAACATGGGTTTCTTCCCAGTTGTTTTCAACGGTCTCCATTTCTGCCCGTCCAGACAAAAAATCCAATCCCAATCACAAAGGAGGCGTTAGCCGCTTTTGCAAATGTCTCCGTTTTAGGGTTTCTTACATGCCAGAGTAGTATTGATGCTCGGCGAAAACACAGCAAAAGTTATGCATTTTGAAACGTATTTGTGTGGATGTAGTGAGGTTGCTTAGCAAAGAGCAGTATACAAAACATTCAGATCAAAGCCTCTCATTTTTAAGTGGCGCTAAGTGGCACTTTCACCAATTACAATGATGGGTTGGGTTTTTGTGCTCTCTGCAGTCATTTTGTTTTTGACCAAAGATTATTTGTGAGGGAAGAACTCTAAAAACATTGAGAGAACCGATACTTCGTCAACAAGTCAATGCCAAAATTCTGCTAACGTGACGGTAATTACTTTTCTACAGTACCGCAGGTATTGTAGGTATCGTCAGGGCTCAAGACTCACGGTGTCCCATCGTCCCGGGGACAATATAGAAATGTGTTTGGGACACAGTGATCTCACTATTGACATGTTTAGGTCAAGTATATTTTCCCCGAGTAATGCTACATTGTGAACACCAAATCCATGTTGAAATCGGCAGTACGAGACCAGTTAACGTTACCTGTTGGCAGCCCATAGGCAGCACAGTCTTTCATGGAGCTAATGTTAACGGGAGGTGCTATTGATATACATTATGATACATTCTGTAAAAATGTGTATTGGCGATGGTAAATTCCAACTTTTTCATTATGTGTTCAATTCAAATTTTGTAAAATGTAGGTTTTTTTGCGGGAAACTTGAATAAATACAGTTGTTTGAAGTCGATGTTTTCACGGTAATATAAAGTAAATAATATAGAGGGAATCATGACCTGTTTAACAAAACATGCAAACGGTAATCACGGAATGTATTTTTGAAGTACATGGGATTGCTTTACTTTTTTACCGTGGTATCAAATTGGTATCGAGAATCGTGGAATTTCACTGGCATTGGTATCGACCACTAAATTTCTGGTATGCTAACAACTCTACTCTAAAAACTACAATCTACATTCACAAGTGATTTATAGTTCCAGCAACTCCAACAGAGGGGTATCGTCTCTATTTAAACAATATAGCTGATCACGTCAATGTAAATATTAGAAGCCGCATCTTCCGAGCTAATCATTCATATATGAATAATTGTTTATAGATTTACAGTCTTCAGTATTTGAATCAAGAAGAACCCAATACAACAGAACCTTGTATAAAGTATGTCTGCATTGTTTGGTCAAATTCTTTTTACTGTATTGTTTGTGCAGTCTGAGTTTTTTTTTTTTTGTCCCAAACACCAGCTGTACCGACAGTTCAGATATTAGCTGTAAGCTAGCTAGCAACGCACGGCCCTGTGTGTGTGTGTGTGTGTGTGTGTGTGTGTGTGTGTGTGTGTGTGTGTGTGTGTGTGTGTGTGTGAAGTTTGGATGTATGTATAGTAAATACTTTGCCATTGTGGTCTCTAAAATTTGCGTTGCTTTTCATCTGCAGTGTGCAGATTTCTATTCCTTTGTTGACTTGTGTTTGTGATGATGGTCTTGAGGCTTATGCAAAACAGCTGCCGGTATGGGCTCTTCCAGGCTACAGCACACTGCCACCCGGATCAGGATGTAAATGTTGGTTTCTGAAAGAAACAGAAATGGTCGGACACAGCCCCCAGTAATCGGATAGGTGTGGGAGGAGTGGGTTTCCAAAGCTATTGTACCAACCAACGAGTCTTTCTAACAGACTGAAGCTGACTCATTAGTTACAATGTAATAAGCTTGATCTTGAGGCAGCAAGTTTCTTCATTGTCGGTCCCATAAAACAGTTGCTGTCTCTCGCTTAAAGTTACAACTCGGCTAGACCAGTAGAAAGATGCACTCTTTTAGCAAAGCAGAATAAACTGCTGTTGAGGACAGGAGCACTCTGCTGTCTTCACTCATACTTCTCATGCTGGAGTGGAGGCTTTCAATGTGGTTCGCAGGTAGGAAGGAGCAGTTCCCTTCATTTCCTTGTAGGCTAGCACCAGAGGATTAAACTGGATGCGAGTTGCAACAGGGAGCCAGTGTTGCAAACAGAGAAGTGGAGTGGTGTGGGCAAACTTTGGGAGGTTGAAGTCAAGATGGGTGGCAGAAATCTGGACTTTCCGCAAGTGATAGCTTGGACCAGAACCAGCAGCGTAAGGAGGGAGTTGCAGACGTCCATTTGGGGTCGACCAACCGCGGAACCATTGGACATCGGTCTGACAACCGATAAGCCTCTAAGAGCAAGGGGCTATGTATCTGGGGATCTGGTGTAGCCAGCGGATATCCGGGCTAAGACTTTTCCGTGCGCTGCTCTATGTTAACAGTCCAATTAGCTATTTGAGATGCGTTGAGTTGAGACGACATATACCACCGGATTGTTTCAAAAGTAGCCAGTTTACAAGATAGTTTAAAATTAATACAAAGCAAAACCATTGTCATTCGTGATAGGGTCAAACACAGTTTATTGTCCAAGTTGGTGTCACCGATGGCGATAGAGAGGTCTCGGCAGGCACGCAAACTGCAGAAGCCAGATGCTATTTTAGAAATAGGAGGCGGGGGCCGGGAGAACACAGCAGCACGAAAGTGAGTCAGGATTTCAGATCAGACCATAGAGCCTGCAGTTGTGGCGGCCCTCTGCAGCAACAGCATTATGTCAATATGTAGTTTAAATGTATGTAAATTAGTGCTGGGCAAGTTAACGTGTTAATTTCGCGTTAACGCATTCATTAATTAACGCCGACAATTATTTTATCGCGCGTTAACGCATTTTTTAAAATTTATTAAAATTTTTTATTTTTTTTTGAAAGACAAGAGACTATACATAACAACAAGATGATGACAAGAACAGTGGGATAAAAGCCAGCAAACATCCTATAGTCAGTAATGTTAGTGCACCTATATGCTGAAATTCACGGTAAACGCATTTAAACGGCACAGATCGGGAGCGAGCGAAGGACTTTGAAAGTTAGCGGAAACATTAACGTGAAACAACATCCGGTTTCTTCAGACGAACATCCGGTTTTCAGAATAAGATGCCAACAAAGTATGAATTATATTCACATTAAGTATAAAACATGCTAACTGCATCTCGTGAACCAAATGTTATTGCCCTTTTGTTCATATAGCAGTACTTTTAAAATAAAAGTGCGCAATACACTACTTTTGAATTCATTATTGAACTTTGCCATAACAATGTGATTAATCTCAAAAAATCCATGCGATTAATCGCGATTAAATATTTTAATCGTTGCCCAGCACTAATGTAAATATTTAACCGAGTAGTATTTCTGGTGCCGACTAGCAAGGGAAGCAACATTTAATCGACAAGTTTGACTAATCGCGCACATCCCTAGGAGGAACACAAGCTCCATTTTGTTCAGGCGGTGCCTCAGCATCAACTCCTAGAGAACTACAAGCAAGGCACTAATCCGAGAGAGTGACGTCATCTGTGATCGATTAACTAGCGGACTGGTAGCGGCAGAACGCTGTCGGGGAGTAGATGTAGACTCTGCTCAGTCTTGGGCCTTGGTGCCCCCCCCCAGCGGTACTACGGTGGTGTGTAACTGCTGCACTCCACTCACTCGAATTAGCGAATGCTAACAGACGAATATCCGAATAGTCGATTATTCGGGTCCAGCCCTACTCTACACATTGCTCATATCAATGAATGAATGCACCCGCCTTACGTGCAAAAATGTACTTCAAATACATTTCAAAATCGCCAGCTAGCAACGTTGGTACGTGGCCGCATATGTGTGTGTGTTACTTTTTATTGATGGTTATTAGTCATAATTTGGGGAACTTCGACTGTCAGTCATAACAAATAATGGCCTATAGCATTGCTTTTACATTTCTGTTGCAAGCCACTTTTAAAATGTGTAGCTCTAGCCGATTATACGCTAACCTTACTTGGCAAAGCGATTCGGGTGAAACGGCTGATGAGCTCGTGGAGCGGGGGTGCGTGAGCAGCCAGGTGACTAAATGTAAATAACCAGGAAAAATGGATACAACGCAGATATAGAGCTGCTGTGGTTGCTCTGCTGTTGAATGAGGAAGAAGGGAAAATTATATAGTGCGTTGTAATTAAAAACCGCCCACATCAACCTTTGTCCATTCCTACCACATCTATTAGCATCAAAACAGGAAGTCGGTGGTAAAGTAGTAAAGCCCGGCTCTTGCTTAATTGGAAAGGCTGACTGGGCCAAGTGTGACATTGACAAGCGCTGCGACTCCGCGCCTGACGCTAAAATGTTTTATGGGCGTCTGAAAGAAAACGCACTAGAATGCAAGAGGAGAGCAAATACAGTTAAACAAATTCCAATGTTTTGGATTAGTTTTGTCAGTGGAGTCTAAAATGATTGCCGACTTGAAGCTAACTGGTGATACAAATGTTAACGTAGCGGCCACAAGAAAGATCACAAATGTAACTGGAAGGTCACATTGAAGTTGTTTTTATGAATATTTAAAACTTCGTATTTGTTTCAATAACTAATGATTATTGTTTGTAATTATGTAGAACACAGTAATTCCACAATACACAGAGATGTAAGATAAGTCGGTAAAAATTAACATTGCAGGTTAAATACAAAATACAAGAACACAGTTTATCACTCCTCAAGAGCTCAAAACAGCAGGGAGACAAGCAGCAGCAGTATTAAAAAAACAACTAAACAGAGTAACATGGTCCAGACAAAGTCAGCAGTGTTCGTGATTAAAGGGATTGTTTCTGCTGTGGCTGCGTACACAGCAGCAGCAGCCATTTTGTGTTGTAGCATTCACCGCAAGCTATCTATCAAAGGGAAAAGAGTGGGGATGGGGAAAGTGGGGAGTAGCTAGCTTGTTGACTGATTCAAATCACTTTGCTCAGTGACTGTTAGAACTAGACTTCACCAAGAGTGCTTTCCTGTTCCACATCGGCTAATTTAGTCCTAGACGTCTAAACACTATATTTGAATCGTTTGGGGAGCTTTGAGTTTGTCATTCACCTCTCTAGCTCCCTCCCTTGTTGGTGAGAACACCCTTCTGCTGCAATGGTTTAGTCCGTGCTTGGCTGTAAAACTCCAGACTGGAGCCGACTGCTGGTGTGGGGGAGGGGTATTGGCGCTCTGTGTAAAGGCTGTGGACTTCAGCTCTGACTGCGTGGTGCTAGCTATAGCTTATGGGATGTGATTTTACTTGTAGTTACTCCAAAGATTGTCTTTAGGTCTTCAGAGTTTTACCAGAAAAAGAGAGGGAGAAACTGCATGCATATATTTCAGTTCTGCAATTCACCAAAAGTATTTTTATTGCTATGTCTTCAGGGAACCTGGGTTACTTTTATTTTGAACCTGGTGTTTTTTTGTTTATTCTGTGGTAAGCCCATCAACATTTATTGGCTTTTCAGTGTAGCCATGACAGGAGCCTTCATCAGCAGCACTACAGAATAATCACCATGTGCTTTCTCGATTCACCTGGTTTGCCCCCCCCCCCCCCCCCTAATTTTTTTCCCTCTTTTCCTTCTTCCCCAGCTCTTGCTAGTCTCCACTTATTGAAAAAAAAATAAATAAAAAAATCACACGTACAATGTTGAGGTCTAAAGAGCAGTGGTGTTGCATTTTTGCTGAACAGGTTAACCTTGTTTCATAAATAACTTTCCTTTGGTCGTAATCTTTTGGAATGTTTACATTCTGTCCATTTGTCATTTCTAAACCTAAAACACTGAGAGATGTCACAGTCTTAATAAGTATATGCAACCGATTTATTTAGCTTCTAGGATTAATTGGTGTCTTTTATTGGAATCAAAATTGTCACCGATATGTAGAAAATAGTATTTGAAACTAGTTTAACATTTGAAGGAAAGATGCCCCTCTTTGGATGGATTGGAAACGGGAAACAAATAAGCATACATGAAGGAATGGACTCTGGTTTCCTGCTTGCCGGATAGCAGCAAACGTAAGTTTCTCTGCAGGCCACGAGTGACATTAATATGAAGTGCATTGTGAGCTAATGGAAGCGATTCCACTTCACCAGGATATTCAAATGTATGATTCATATTTATTTTTTACCAGGCAGTTAACTTTGTTTGTTTGTGTGTGTGTGTGGCGATTGTTGATGATTATGCTACAGGTCCAGCCTGCATTGTTGACACTCAGCATATTTAGAATCACAGTTAAAATCCTGTAAACGTTCACGTTTCTCTCCGAATTCAAACTATTGGTATCTTTTTTATGTATAGCCCTGAAAACTACGATATCATCACCGTATCTACTCATTCATTTAGGCTAACGGTTTTAAATGAATCGGTCATACTCATTGTGGGACTTCACATGCGAGTGCATCCATCCATCATCACACTTTCTATACCTCTCACTCTGGAGACTGGAGCCTCTCCTGGGCATGCATCGGCTGAGAGGCCGTGTCCACCTGACTCGCGGGTGTCTCGACTGTGATCGTAAACTACATTTCCCAGAAAAAAAATGAACCATTTCTTGATTACACAATCACTGCTTGTAACCAGGAGGTTCAGGGTGTAATCAGTTAGCAAGGGGATATCAATGGAGACTGGTGTGACTGTTTTTTGAGTAACAGCCTGAACAGTTGATGTACAATAAGTCAGTGTTACAGAAATAATAATAGAAGGGATTTGATGCTCCAAATAGGTAATACAAACAGCAATTTAACAACACACACAGTAGGTGAATGTGATACTGCATGAGTTGCTTTAGCTCTTCGCAAGCAGTTGGAATAGAGCGAAGCCCAGATCGGTGTGAGAGCCTCTTAAACTGGCTACCTTGTGTAGAAAGGTGCGAAATTAGCTTTTGTTTCATTTATCTAAATATTCCACAGCTGAAATTTTGTGTGCCAGTGAGAGGTCTGCACACAGGAATAACTTTAAAATGGCGTGGTGCTGCTGTCGCAACAGGACAAGATGTTGTGCTAGATACAGCAGGCTCAGAGGGCTCTGTGTGGCTGCGCACAGCAGACCAGGTGGCCATTTTGAGTTTCAGTGAATCCAGATGCAGGCAGCGAGGTTGGGGGGAGGGGAAGACAGCGCGCAGTAATGTTGGAATGCAGACTCTGCTCTCACTGGCTGACATCTTTTTTTTCCACTCAGTGTTTAGCCTCCATAGCAAATGTCTAAAATGGTATTGTTTACACTTATTTAGTTATTTTTTTACATCTTCTGTGACAGACGGTTGGAGACAGCAAAGTGTGAGCTTTACTGGCATATCGGTTGAAGCACCATCTGCAGCCCGGAGGAGAAAAAGCATTATTTTATTACCCTGTTATCTAGCACCAGGTTCATAAAACATTTAGCACTACAAATCAGAACTATGAGAGGTGACAAAGTGGGAACTTATCGGTTTAGCTCTTCAGCCATAGTTTAGGGTGTTGCATAACAGTGAAACTCTAAACCAGGATATAGAGGTGATCATTATGACTAAAGTCATTAAATCCCATTTGCTCTTTTAGAAATAAGTTTTTGTTCAGTTTCCCCTCAAGACTCATGAATGAGTATGGAGAGTTCTGCAGATACTGTGCTTTTTTTTTTTTTTTTTTTTTTTTTGGAGGCGGGGTTTGTTATAGGACCTGCTGAAGCCTGTGTTCAGCATGCTACTCGCAGCGCAGCGCTGGTGGCCATTTTGTGTTTCTGCAGTAGCAGAAAGGTGCCCGGTCGAAGAACGCAGGTTTTGTTTGCTCTCACAGCAGGGCTTTTGATGTAGGACAGAAGGTTTCAAATGGCAGGTCATTGTAATGAATGAATCACACATTACTACTTCTGCTACTCCAACAGTGCATTTCCTCTGTTTTGAGTCTCAAAGACAAAACTGGAAATTACTTCAACAAACAATTTTGTGAAGAAAAAAACAAGTGACAACCAACCAAGTCAATTTCTCCGTTTTCAGGTGGGTGTTCTTTGTTCCTCTTGAGTAAAGAAGCACCCCCGTGTTGGAATGGTTCAGTCCTCCCTGCTGTGGGAGAGGCCGGGCAGTTAGAGGCTGCTTACTGTGTCAAGCTGTGCTCTCATTTGTTAGCTATGCGCAGCTAGCTATCTGTGTGGCTATAAAGCAACATTTGTTGCTTGTAAATGAAAAATGATTAACAACAACAACAAAAATACTACAATAGATATTACTGAGATGATCTTTCAATCTCCGATGCGGTAGTTGTAGTCAACCATGAGAAGTAGTTTTATTCATGTTTCAGAGGAAACATACTTATTTGGCTTATATCGAGTTGTTTAAAGACATAACGTAAAACAATAAGCTAAAAAAAACAAAACAGAGGTAGTGATTCACTTTTTGGCGTCAAAATTGCGTGAAAATGTTACTCCTTGGCCTCATTTAACAAATCTTTGTTCGATTACTTGAATACTTGATCCCTTTTCCTCTTTTGTTTTTCAATGCCCCACCCCCACTCATCCCCCCCACGTCAGAATGGTTCAGTCCATGTTTGGCTTGGAGAGGCTGAGAGCAAGGGGAAGAAGGAGTGAGTGTGAGAGAGAGAGAGAGAGAGAGTGTCTGTGTGTGTGGGATAGAGAGAGAGACGGGGGAGGGTGGGTGCAGCTGCCTCTGGGTTGAGTGTGCTGTGGGTGTGTAATTTAGCGCTGGCTGTGCGTGGCTAGCTAGGCCCTGACTTAAGTGCACGTTGTGCTGCATTGTCATGCAAAAGTGGCTTCAATTGTTTTGAATGTGCTTTACCGGTTATTGTTTGATGGCACATATACTGAGAGGTTTTTACTGTTTGGTATAGCATCGTTACCACAGATATATATGCTATGGTATCCTTAGCATTTCTACGGTTTAAAACAAACGGAGTTCAACTAATAATATTTAGATAGTGTTTAACTATAATATAATGCTAACTGTCCAGTGTATCCCATCAAGGCCTGATAACCCAGCTTCTGTCGAACGCAGCATTTACTGATGTTTAGATTGCTCATTAGTTTTCTTTTCATCTCTGCTGTTTTACAGCAGAATCTCGGTAGCCTTTAGCATGATCTATAAGAGAGTGGATCTGTGAGATCACATTACATCCTGTGTAAGCTCTGGGTCATTGGAGGGATAGTATTTGGCTGAGGCGAACATGCTCGTACTACCTCAAGTGACCATGTCGTCATATGAATGCAGTTCAGACAAAATCTATCAAAGATTCAGAGGCAATATGCATTTCACTGAAACCGGCAAATTTATCGCTGTGTCAGGGTTTCCTATTTTTGTCTTTTGTTTGACTATTGTGAAAATAAACTGTTGTAGCACCAGAAGCCATCTTAAACACAGTTTTATTGTTTAACCTTCTACACACTCAGAGTACTAAACTCCAGTAGTTTTTCTGTGTAACACTGTTGTCCTTGGCTTTCTTTTCTTTGCTTATGGTGTTATTTTAGAAAGGAGAGTCCCCCCCCCCCTGCCCTTTGTCAGAATGGTTTAGTCCGGCCTGGCTGTAGATTTCCATACTGTGGACTAGTTTGTGCTAGAGTTGGGGGATGGGTGTTGCTAAGCAACAGTCTGTACTTCCCCTCTGTCTGCTGTGCGCTGCTAGCTAGTGTTGGTAATGACAATCACCACGCTGCACCTTCAAGTATTGTAGACACAAGATCTGATTTGTATTTGTAGTACCTGCAAATATACCATGCACTTGATTTAGTCATCAGGGGGAAAATATCTTCTTTTTATTTAATTATTGCAGACTGCTGTGTCAGGAGCTTTGACCTGACTTTCCCTTTTTTAAAGGGTTCAATGAATATCCATTATAGGCTCATATAGGCCTCACCCTTTCTAGTACATACCCCTGCAAGTAACAAGATGGTCTAGTCCAAAGTGAGCCCCTCCTCCTTTCTTTTATGTTCTCCTGCTGGCCTCAGCCTGCTGCCACAATCAACAAATACGTGGAAGGCCTCAATCCCACACATGCTGCTAAAGGTTGCTATGTCTTTGTTTTTAAAGCATGTTTCACATTTCTCTCTGTCATGTTAAATCTAACTCTGTGTTTGTCATTGCAGCTTCACACTCTGCTCGCGGTTAGCTCTTGATACTTGTAGAGAGTGCTATGCTAGTTGAAGAAGGTCAAGGTTTTGGATTGTTGGTTGTTTGTTGTGTTGTTGTTTTTTGACAGGAAACATGACTTGCCGACATTCTTCCGATGTCGTAGGGTGTTTGCTGTAAATTGTCACTAATATAGCTGACATTGGGAGAAACATGTTTGTCCCTACCACAGCGTGCGCGACACCAGGTCCATGCATTTGTTCCTGGTTGCGCGCACATCTTTGGCCTCGGTAACGGAAGTCGAGTCATGCGTGTGCTGTGACCAGTCACACAAGTGACTGTACATGTATATATTCATAGCACTGTCAACACATTTGTAGTCGTGTGATTTAGCGCTCACAATCGTTAAGGTGGCCATTCATTTTTTATTTACGCAGCAAGAGATCGCAATCGTTCAGATAGAAGTATATATTTTTTTTAATAGGGTCCCATGGTGGGTCATGTGAAGTTGTGTTTGTATCCTTGAAGTGTTCATGTTAGAGTCATAGTGCGTCTGCTAAAAATGGTGCTTGAATCATTACGTTTTTAGCCTAAAGCGGCCCTACTCGTGGCTCCTGTTGCTGACGCTTTAACGCGGTTAACCCGCATACAGTTTAGTGTGTTGAGGAATAGGTTCCCACTGTCTTTAATGGAGCTGATTGACGCGTTTTTGAAAGCTGGAGTAGCCCGACCTCAGAGGGATAAAATAAACAACGGTTTGGAAATGGATCGGTAGCCGCATGTCAGAAAAAAATGCTTTCATGTGTACCAGTCTAGTTTGTCAACCAGGGACGTACTGAGCAATGACTGGCATCAGAGATAAAGGATTCCTCATTAAAAGACATGTATCAGAGTCTGGGTGCTGTTCTGGGGAGTCTAACATGCTTTGGCATGTTGCACATGCGTGTTCATGTTCGGTATCCCAGACTTTCCCATCTTCTTCGAAACAGGTTTGAATCATGTTTAGCAAGATGGCATACGGTTGAAATATGGTTCCGTCTTGGGATTTTTTTTCTTCTTTTGTCCTGAGGGAGAGGTTTGATGTTCCTGTTCACTGTTTGAAAGGAAAGCCAAGTTTGTTGTTTGCTTGGCGTCACAGAGGCTCAAGCTTTGAGGAGTGCTTATTTGGAGTTAGAGACTTGAATGCCGGGTTAACACTTTGTGACGTTTGACCAGCAGCTCGGTGGCCCGTCACCTGGTGTTGCAACAGTGAGTTGCAGTGGCAAAGTTCTGTTAAGAGGAAAGCAGCTGTCAAAACCCAGAGAGAGAGAGAGAGAGAGAGAGAGAGAGAGAGAGAGAGAGAGAGA